AAAGTTGCAGTCGCAAGCGGTTGTTTCGAAACTGAATGATACAGGTTCGTTGAAAATGGAAAACGGATAAGCATGAAGCTACTAATATGACGCGCAAAGAATAAAATTGAACAAAGAAAATGAAAATTGAAAGAACGAAGGAAAATTGATCTTTTCATACCGTGTTGGTTATCGTTGTTAACCGTGTCGTTTTTTCTTAATTTATTCAGAACCATTTTACGCCGAGCTAGAAAATGCTGCCGGGCAAATTATAATTAATTCTTGCACGGCAAGCAACGAAAGAAACTAAATGAAACGCAAAGTAACTCTTTCTACTTCTCGTTTCGTCCTCCTGCTCCTCGACCATGTACCTCCTTTTCTTTCTTAATTATGGCAACGTAAATTTATTCGAGTCTCTCAGCTTTTTCGCACAGCTTTTCGTGTTAAAATGCCGGAAGAACTTCTTTCTCATGATAGTTTTCATTGTTACGATAAAATTACTAAGGGGAGAAGCAATTAACTGGTCATCGTGTAGCTGAAAAATATTTGATATTAGCACATTTTTTTATTCCACATAAATTAAATGTTTTTGAAAGAAAATAATTTTGAAATTCTCCTTGAGGGGCACTGAAAGTGGCACGTCTATCTTGTACAGACTGTCAAGAATTTATTTAAGAGTAGATTGGAGTAAAACGTAAAATTAATATGTAGGAAGTTGTCTAGACAAGACATTCTTTCATGCTTGCTTAGCTTGTTACCGTGGTATCATTTTACGCTTTCCCATCCCCTTTTAAACCCTCGCTCTTTTACCCCCCACAATCTACAGCTCTCTTCTTCATTCTCCTTTTTCCTTCTAGCAGCGTTAAATTTGATAAAAATTTCTGCCGCTTTACAGGCAGCCAGCTGGTAATTTGATCGCTCGTGTACTCGATCTCTCGTTTAGCGTGGACGACCCTCGATTTAGCGAGAATAAATTTTTCACCCTTTCCTTTTCTCTCGTTTGATCGATCTTTTTTTTCACGGGAAATCGAACGATCGACCGCGTAAATGCAATCTACAACTAAGTTGCTTTTACATTGCGTATCGATGTCGCTTCGAGAGATTGATGAAATCGATGTGACGCATTCGAAACAAAAAATTGTCATCTTTTCACAGCGAGAACACTCGACATAAACTTTGGAAGAGTTAAAGTTCAGATTTTCATTAATCTTTAATTTAAAACTTAATTAGGTGCTTGAACTTAAATTTATTTTCAAAGAAGTTCATTACAAATTTAAAGCTGAAAACCATGAACTTTGTAATGAAATCTTTCCTCCCAAGTCTTTGATCGTTATATTAATCATTTTAACTGGAAATCTTCAAATGGAGCTTACGCTAAAAAATTACCATCGAAGGTGCTATGTTCGTTAAATCGGCAATGTGCTAGATAAACGCCTGTTCGCGTCCCTCGCGAAATGAGCAGCACACACGATCGATCAGCCTCGAATAAGCTAGCTGTTAGTCGCGTGCATTAGGAAAATCAATTAACGATGCATTTATGTTAATCCCGACGGAGTTAAACGAGAAGAGACTCGAGACGGTTTCAGCCAGATAAAATGATTAATTGGTGTAATCAATTGGACCGTCAGCCTGAGCAGACTTTCGTGTATCACGTAACAGGGAACAAGATAGAGGAATTATTAACGACGTCTTCTCCGACCGTGATTCCTCTTGCATTATCCCGTCAATAATAATTTGCCACATCTTTAATAAATAATCCCTCAATTTCTCTACGATAGAATTTCAGTGATTTCGAAACAAGCCGATCGCTTTATCAAAGAAAATTTGTGACCGACAATTTTCACGATGGAGCCAGCTGAATCGATCGGAATGGAACATAGGAACGCTTTGAACGGGAGAAAAAGTTTAAGAGGCACGCGAAATGGAAGGCGCGATGGGGAGGAGTGCGAAACCGAGTGCAAAGTTGTTGGACATATATGGGCGGAAGTGTCGAAAGACAGGGGGGGTGAAGTGTCCCTTCCCGTCGTTCAGCCGGAAGCTTTTATAGTTCCAAACGTCGGGCAACTTTTTCTTGTCGATCGGGCAGAAACGACGTCGATTGTGTCTTCGCTGGTGGCCAACTTCCGCTCGATTAATCTTTATCGATTAGCCAAGTTCCCTTTTTTATTATTTTTCGTGAAAGAAACGCTTGAACACTATTGCTTAATTATTTTTATCAAATGTATGGGAGAAATCTTCGAGGAGATTAATTCTAGATATTCCCTGAAGATAACTTGTCAGACACGTTTCAAACCGATCGTGATTTAGCGCCTGTTGTTAATTACATTCCGGTTGTCGGAACTTCGGACTGATTATTCCGATAGACAATAATAATCGGTAGTTGGAAGCTTCCGTGGTTGAGATTCATCGGAGTTATGCGAATTTCGAGATTAATCTCAAGGAGAATCTAATTAGTCTGAGAATAATGGCCGTGACAGAGAGAAATGACGCGGATAATAGTAATCGCGTCAATCAGTCATTCCATGGTTTGTCGGTAGACAATGTTCCTTGCTATCATTGACTACGTTGTAATCTCCCTATAAGTGTCTAGTGAAATTATCTATAATAAATTACAGCCAGAAGAAAGGTTTGTCAACTTCAATTGAGGCATTATCTGTAAGAAGTACCCTCCAATTATTCTCAAATTATTTTCGCTCGATAAACAACATTCTTTAAATGTAACTACCCCCTTAAATTTTATTATTCCACGGCTGTAACCTTTAACATGAAATTACACTCGAAGCCTTATTAAAACTCGGTATCGTTTTACAGGCGACGAGTTAGAGGGTTGGTAGTAAACATAACAAAAGCTGCTGTTCGTCGCAGTATCGTATCAGGAATTGTATAGGTCGAGAAGCTTATCGATGGTTTTACGGGCCGGGACCCTTTTGCCGTGGCTATTCGATTCAATATCGTCAAAGGTTTAGTAGTCGTCGGGCGGGCGCTGCTTTTATTGTATAGCTTCCTTCCGTTGTGTCGGTGCTCGTTCACCGGGTATATCGCGAACGAAAACATTTACGAAACTGCTTTCGATCGTTCCTTGAGAAAATTCCCGATTTTCTTGAATGAGAAACCCTTGGAAAGCTCTCGCGATAGTTGTATCAATAAATTATCATTAGGAGCCATTTAACGCGTTGCATTTGGCTCAGCGAAAATCAGAGCTGGATATTTTCGTAATGAAAGAGTTAATCACATGGACACTGTGCTCGATGAAAAATTCAATTTCAATTAGCTCGATGTTGATCACCGGGGTATTATACGTTTTTCGCGGTATCTTCATTTACATTAATTAACGGATCGCCGGGTACACTGACTTTGGAACGATACCAGGGATTTATTAATTAAGAGATAGTAGACGCCCGTCGATTCGGTGCACGGTTTAAATTAGCCTGGTCAAACATAATTTAAGCGCACGGCCAGATTTAATCTTCACGAGGTACCGGTGAATGATTACACAATACTGTTATGCAGAGAATGTGCATGGAGACCGGATGAAGGCGGGTATTAATGTATCATTTACACGGCTTAGTGTACCCCATAATTATATCTGTGACCGTGATACACGAACTCGCTCGAGTAACATAAGTCTTCGTGTTTGCGGACCACGAAGAGAGCTGCGAATGATTAAAAATTGTAATTAGCAATGATCGATCGTGAGAAGAAAGTGAAAGATCGGACGCACGACAAGGTGGAATATAATTGGTAATACGAAACGAGCTTAATTTCCGTGTGAAACTTTTGCCAGGATCACTGTAGCCGCTCGCACGAAAACTTTGCAGCCAGTGAAAGTTCGCCTAGCAATTTCGCGTTCGGGAAATTGATTGGAATATCTCGAAACTTGCGGATTGAAACCGAGAAGTTTCGACTTCGGGAGAAAAGAAAGAAGCACAGATCGACGAAGAAACGTGGAAGTTTGATTATGAAAAAACACTTGAGAATCGAGAAAGAAACGACCAAGGGAATTTTGAAATTGTTCTTGGATCCATGGAGTTCCTCATATATCTCTTATATTTAAAATTTAAAAAAAAACAACGATTGATTATAAAATAGGAAAAACAGACAGACAGGCTTTATGGGAGTTAAAGGGACATTAATTAGAGTTAACTTACCAGAATTAATTCGTCATCCCCAGTTCATGGGTTAAAAAGTTACAGCAGATTTATTGACATTGTCAGCGGTTAAAACCGAAGTTTACTTTGTCATTGTTCCCCAACAACCCTGTACAACATATTTATCACAAAATAATCCCCATAGAAACAGGAAGTTAGCTCACGTTGCACGTGTTTACCGCATCAGTATATTATTCTGCGCGTATTACAATTTAAGCCGCATTAAAACTAGCGAGTGAGTTTGAAGTTGACCAAGGTAACTTGGAAGTTAACGGTTGCACGTCTTAAAGTAATCCGGCACATTTCTCTTCGGTAATCCCTTATCTGGAAAAGCTTTGGAACAAATTCTCTCTCTCTCTCTCTTCTTGATCCTGAGAAAATTTGTGTTCGTTCGTAACTGTAATTGAATCTGTACAAAATTTAATCCATTTCTTACGACCACGAATTTCGTGGAGGCTCGATCGTGTCTCGAAGGAAATGTTAGATAAATATTTCGAATTGTATCGTTTGTAGAGGAAGGAAATGGTATTGTAACGAAGTTGCCAGTTGAATTGGATGTCGCACGATTAATTTCCCGTTGGTAAAATATTCACTGGTCGTCGTCACTCAGGTCTCAAGATGAAATTCAATTACACGAGTTAGCTTCCCCGGCGACTTCCATGCTGCGTTTCCATCCGTTTTCTCGGTGCTAATAGACTTATTAGTTTGTTATTCGTAAGTTGAGTTCGCTGGAAAGTTTCTCGTGGCATGGGCAATGTTAATTAACTACCTATTCTTTTTGATTTTTCTTGGAACCGATGTGCAAGGTAAGGATGCTCAGGTAGCAGAGCATTTTTGAACAGTTATTTCATAAATTGTTTTGTTTTGTTGCAGAAGAAAGCTGAGCAACCACAAAAAACAATTAGGGTGGGCGAAGAAAGTCCAGAACGAGCAGGGACTGATTGAATAATCGTGGAAACTTAAAAAGGAATTCTGGGTCAAGGTAAGTGGCAAACTTTTATTCTTTGATCTGGAAATCACGGTACCGGCTTTCTGCGGATTCATTGTTACAAATCTCTATTGTACCAGGCGTTTGCTTAAATTTAAAGCGAATTAGTCGAAAAGCGGTCTTTTACTAAAAATATTTAACACTGAAAGAGTAAAATTTTTCAACTGAAAAGTAAGGAAACTTTTACTCCTTCGTCACAAAATATTAATATTGTAGAATCTGAGAATGGACAGCTAATCGATGGAATATTAAATTTGCTATTACAGGTCTGGTACTTTGATCTCGAGAAACTTTGAACAAAGGCTACAGCTTCTCTAATAACATAGAGTATCTTCAAACATAATTATCCAAGATCCAAGTTCAAGATTCCTTGGAAATTTCTGTCAAGTTCATAGGGAAACACTCTAAGAGAACCCTTGCAATCTTGTGAATAAATTTTGGCTAGTCAGTCACTAGTGAAAGCAAGTCGAAAACGATCGTTGTCTTCGTCCCTAATTAATTTCGATTCAACGCTTTCATGGAAAGTTTGAACGAGCTTCTGGCTAGCATAATTTCTCGCTGCTCGTAACCTTGTAGTTAGACGAGTTTGAGAAAACAGGGCCAGAGATACAGAGGACTGGTTGTCCTGGAAATCCTAGAAAGCCTTGAGGTCAGATAGCAAGTCGGAGATGACATTTCAAGTTCGCCTAAGCAGAAACAGAGTCGTTTCCGAGGTAACTCGGATTAATTTTGGAAGTTCCATGAGGTAAGCCTTGAAGGGTTAACCCATGGTATTGAGTTTCCGCTTAAAACCAACCAAAGGGGGAGCCTTTATTAAATTTCGCCTCGAAAATATCTCTTCGTCTCCTCCTTTAAAAATGATTTCTTTTTTTATGGCTCAATTGAGAATGAAGCAACACTGTGATGTATTAAGTTCTTTCAAGGGAAAAACAAGGGAAATTAATGATTGCAGGATCTGTCCAATCAATCACGAACTTGAGCTTTTCTATCATTGATCATCTTGCCGGGTGTTGTATCGCTTTCGAGCAAGAAACTGGCGGAAGTTCCGTATCCCCAGGGTCACGGCACTCGCGGGTCGTGTACGTATAGGTTGGTGTATGCACGCGAATCGGGCTAGGGCGAAATTTCATACCAAGAGGTTTCGTCGAACTAATACCCGAGGGGCAAGAAATTGCAAACAAGATCTTCTCGTCGCCACCTGAAATTAATCCTTCGCGAGCAACAGATGATACGCTGTTGTAGGCTTCTCATCTGGAACCCTTCCATAGTGGATTCTAAATTTTGGAATTTACTGATATTGTAAATGGAAGGCGGGGCTGTAACCCTTCTTCAGACCCCCCACCCCCTTGATCCTGCGTTGCTTGCTATCGTCTCTATTAAGTTTTCTACTAAAAATTGTCAATGTTGAGTTATTCATTTCCGATTAACAGTATAATCTTTGGAAAGTTTCAATAACATGGTCGGTCCTTCGTTTAATTAACTTTTGAAGGCAAGTTGAGCTCGTTTTACGAGCGTCTTTCCAATTGCTGAAGGGAGTTCAAGTCACAAACGTAGAAATTACTCGTAGAAATAAGATGAACTAAGTTAGTCAAGGATACGAAAAGCTTCCAGGGCCGAGTAAAAGGGAGGTAGATTTTTTCCAAGCGAGTACATTCTGATTCCAGCAGAATTACACGAGCGGCTGAATTCTGATCTTGCTAGCAAGATTCTGTTCCTTTCTATTCTTTTCTTCCGCTCTCCACGTTACCTTGCTTTACTCCATTTATTTGAAGATAAGTTTAAGCTACTGATCGCTGTAACATGAACGCGAGGATCAACTAAATACGCTTCATTGCTTTCAACAAACAGTAGAGCTTCCCAAACCAGTAATGCTAACGCTGATAAATGAAAAACAATTACCTATTTTTTTAAAGAAAATGTGTAAAAACGTGTTTCATTACATTACAACGTGATCGTTTGGTTCAAACGTCGTTAAACAATAACAAGTTGATGCAAAAAGCATTTCCAGATGACATAGTTATCGTTTCACTCGAATTCTATCATTTTAGTTTATGTTCCTGCCTCTCATCTGTCATATCAAGGTGTCGTTTCATGAAATTCGAACACGTTCCGAAAGAAGTTCGATTTCACTGCAGTAAATGTTAGGGAATTTCTACTACTCTAACTAAAAACTTTGTACCCCTCTAGATTTGAACATAATTGCAGTAAATTAACTTCATTACCGCCGTTAGAAAGGGCAATTCTTCCTCTTTAAAATGGCTTTCGGTTCATGTAAATCGGACCGGTGGTTCCTGAGATATCGTCGTGTAAATAGAAGCATGATTTTTAGTTTTCTGATATCTCCCTCCTTGTCGCTCACTCGGTACTTTCACTTGCACGGCTGAGTAACAGTGTACATATACTACTTACGCGTATGCACTTATGGGAAAACAGTGTACGGTGAGTAGTGTAGTGCTTTCCCGGTCCGGGCATCCATTCAAACCGGAGCATATTAGGGCTAATCTTTAAACTCTCATATCTCGAGAACCCATTGAGCTATCGACTTAAAAAAAAGTGCATTGTAAAATGCATGCCTTACGCTATCTTTGAGACCCGTCAACTTGAAAAAATCTACACTTATTTTTTAACAACTAAGTGTTAAAGTTGATGTTTAATGTAGTAGATTTTACAGACTCTACTCAATTACCAAACATTTTTATATAAACGCCATTGAAATTCGGATGATTGTTAAAAGCCTGAGAGTAAAAAGTCAGAGCTTAAAAATTCGACGGGACAGATGAGAGGTCTGATCCACTCGCGCTTTTATTTTTGCCGCTAGAGGGGCAAACGAAAATCTTGTTTTCCGTTCCCGTCGCTCGTCCGCATCGTTCTCCCAGCACCGGCGCGGAGCGTCGTTAAAACGACGTTAGAGCCCTCACCTACGGGATATACGCAGTTATTCGCTCACCCCTCCCGGGAAATTGCTTGTGAAAGCTCGCAGTACATAAAACCCTTCCCAACGAACGGGCCGGAATAAATTCCTCCTTTTTTTTTTTTTTTTTCTAAATACTGTTATGACGATACTTGTATTCATTCCCAATGGAGAATCACAAAACCCCATCGACGTTTCAAAATTACGAAACACTTTGAATCACCGAGCAAACTTTCCTCCGGACGATCCGCTCAAAGTATAGGAACTGATAACAAGCGGGAGACAAAGTTTGAAAGTTTAATCGCGTCTCTCGGACGTTGCTCCAGTTTCATTTCGTTTTTGATTCATCCGCCGAGCAGAAAAGATACAAACCGCTAAGAAGACAGAATGCAATTTCGATGATACTCGACCACCGAAACTACTCGTTGAAACTCGAGTGCCTTCTTTAATTCTGGAAATTATTCGCGGATATCGTGCTTGGAAATTGAACGATAACGTGGAAATGGAGAAACATTTTGGGGGGCAAATGAATAACGAAACGGGGTTCAAGTGTGCACTCCGATCAAAAAGCGAGGGAACGCAAACAATGAAACGAGAACACTCGAAGAATTGGTGAAATTTTTCAAGCGATATCCGCCCGATCCTCGTGTATATCTGTTCGTTGCATCGTCGCACAACACCGTGTGTGTTATGGGGTTATATACGGGGACACGCTGTACAAAGTGGCCTCTCACTGGTACTTAGGGCCGTTCTCAACCAGCCCAGGACCATCCCCGTTGCTGCAGCTGTGTCAAACATTATGCAGGCAAGCAAAAGCCACTTGAAATGCAAATGTTTGCAGCGAACGCAATTAAGGCCCGTGTAGAGTGGAAGCAACGAACGCGTTCCGTTGTTAGATTGGCACCCGTTTTACAAAAAGCTATCGCTTTTCGTTTAACAGCTGCTTCTATCAAAAAGCTTGCTCGAGAACTTTCATCGAATGGAGCTCCAGGGTGTATTGTAAAATAGTTTGTCGGATTTTTCGAAAATCTCTTGCGCAAACTGTGGTACACCGTAGAGGATAAACAGAAATTTATTTTGAAAGTTATGGAGCAGTTCAGGTGGTTAATTCTCCCCTTTTGAACGTTCTGTGGATCTTCAAAGGATGGAATAGAAATCATTTTATAGAATATATTCAAGAAGAAGGAATTATGGAAACTTTCAAGTTTCTTTTTTAATTTTCAATTTCTGAAGGGAATAGAAACGCTGCAGTTTGCCGTTTCGATAGTAGCCTTTACCCGAGGGAACGATCCGATCTGGACAATTATTTACGAAACGGTTACGGATCGCTGCGATCGAGACGATTAAATGTTTGATGGCAACGGGACGTTGTTCGATTACTTTCGCCGATCGAATCATCGGTGTTCCGAGGTTGAAGGCGTGCAGCAGCGAGAAATCGAGGAGAAGTGACGGCAGGTTAGAAAAACGACAAGAGCAACGACATAGAGACATTTCCATCACAAAGACGAACGCTTTCGGTGGATCGTGCCACGTTGGATGCCACTCGAATATGTATGGCGAGACACTCGGCGAAAAGGGGCCACCTGACCTCGAACACTCGACAGCCTTCGTTCGGTATATATTCATCAGGAAGTCTACATCTTCTGCTTCCTGGCTTTTGGGTACTTTGTAGCCGCTGGACCAACTCGTGAAGCGCTACTCGACATCAAGAGACCCGGAATATGGCTGGTTACTCGCGAGACTTGCTGATTATAATTTCAGAAAGAGGATAGAAACTCTGTTCAACCATCGATAATATGATTAACGATAAAACTGCTGTTTCTTCTTGCCGACACTACAAAAGTCTATAATTTCGTGTGAAAGTGAGGTTCAATCGAAATTGGAACTCCTATTGTTTGCTACGAAAGAACAAATAGCTTTTGATCCTCATCGTTTGCTCCAGGATCCTCGGAAACAAGATAAGAATTTCCTCTCAAACATTGCGGAATCGAAAGAATTTCCAATGTCGAACAGCATCCAATTCTTTTGACCCGAGAAATAGGGCAAAAGGATAGTATTCAAATGAACATGCTTAAACGTTTTCTTAAATTGGATTTTTCTATGCGTCTGCCCCAAACATCGGCGAGCTTCGTCGTCGTTCCCTTTCTTCAATAATAATCAGGGTGTAGATAAAGAGAGTTCTATTGGCTACCGTTTCCCAAAAGCAGGCTTGACTGAATACGAAAGGACGTTTTAAACGCGAGCAATGGTGCAATCTGAAGATATACAGGAGCAGTTAAAGGATTTTCCAGCATGGTGCTCTCTAATTCCAAGCTAAATTCCTGCCAGTTATTTCTACCATGAATGAGGAAACGATTACGAACATGCCTTTAAGACCACCATTAAAAATTGCTACTCGGTAAATTTTACATAAATAGCATCTTTCGTTAAAAAATATTCGATTTCCGTTGAAATTTAGAGAGAGTTAAAGTATAATGATGCTATTTAAAGATGAAATCCTTTCGTTAAGTGCATTATTAAGTTCCCTATTCCATTCGAACGTCAAGTTAATTTAACAGGTTGCTAAAATATTTATGCATTCAATTACTGATTTTTATTCGCTGAGCAACCTGTAGGAGCAAAATAATTAGTTCACATATGGCACAGGGGACCTGTCACCCCTTTTGGCCCCCAAAATTTTGTTCCCCATAGATATAAAAGAATCACGTTTCTATATGCTTCTATATTCATTGTTAATATTGATGAAATTTTTCTGAATTTTTATCAAATTATGATCTGTCAAAATTGTGACAAGTGTATTAAAAATGACCATAATATCGAAGGTCCTTGTGAGAAAGAGAAGCTTTAGTGTCGTGGTATGATGTTGCAACATCCATTCGTGGTTCTTAAAATAACCATCGTGGGAAATCCCAGTATGACCATAGAGAGGACGACTATAACCTTGAAGAACGAACATTTCCTCGACATTGGCGAACTTCTCGTCGATGTATCGCACTATTTCCCTCCAGCTGTTAATTCCCAGGACGGTATGGAACACCTCCGGTATCCCTTCACTGATTCAGAATGGCTAAATATGTTCTAAAAACATTGAGAAACTTAATTCTCTAAAAACATTTTCTGGAAGAACGATTTCACGTCGAACAAAAGTGTTTATAATTCGTTCAAAGCTTATTTTCACGGTTTTAAACGTCGTAAAAGTTCGCCGGAGGTATTCCATCGTCTGGTTATTTCACGTGCACGACTGATCGAAGGCAATTTAATTTAATGCTCGTTCAAAGTTTAATGCATTTAATATTAATTCGTGTGCTCGACTCTCTGCTCTCCATTATTGTAGTTCCTAACACCGTTCCTTTTAAACCGTTTATAAATGGAAAATTCTCTTATCTACTACGGAATGGACCGATTTATCTCGACGTTACGCTCGGATGCACGCATAAAAAATAAAAAAGAGAAAACCGTTCCTCGCTTCGGTACATAACAAAAGCCTCTTCACCGGCGGAGTTTGTTTTTTCACTTTCACGAACTTCGATCGATCGGCATATTACATTGTACGAATTAACTCTATTGTGTTGGATCAACAATGTAAAATGAATCGCCGTGACATTTTTCATTAGCGATTTATGATAAAATTGATTAATAAAGGCCGATTTATTATTAACACATTTTTAAGGATTACAAAGGAAAGTCCTTCTGTTAGGATCAAAAATTAAACTCCATTCTTTTTTTTTAATAATAAATACCCGATTATTATATGGAATAGATAGAAGTGAAGGAGATTAGACTTTCAAAAAATTTTCTAGACCCCTATCTCTCAGTACCCTGTATAAATCGGCCTTTACTCGTGTTATCCATCATGAAACGCAGAGAAATCGATGGAAAACAGGCTGTGACGGATATCACACTGATAAAATGTTAATAAATATCCTTCTCGTCGCTCGTACGTCTCTCGACACGTATTCGAACAGGTCCGTGCAATCTGCGACGAGCGACCGTTCAGAATTTATTGTCGGATCTCGGAGCTGGAATACGTTCCTGTATACAACTTGATCAGCTTGAAGGGTGGTCTGAACCTGATATGCAACCCTGAGTAAGCGATCGCACAGTCAAAATGGTGAACAGGGTTCTGATTTGAAAATTTTCGTAGAATCTATGTGATCGTGGACGAACCTACCCTCGATGTTTATCTATGGAAACATAAGACTTCTCGGAAATCGCATATAAAGAATGACTCCATTGAAATCATCACCGAAAGCAATGCTGAAACCGATTTCGATTTCATCCGCAGCGATATGAGAGAATCCTCGTCTTTCATGCTGTCCGACGTGGAAATATTGCAGGTACGAGGGAAAATATTTTTCAAGCATCAGATGCTCGTAGAACAACTGGATAAAATCAGTTTCACGTTCATTAAATAATGAATCGAGCAACAACCGAGTTGAACGAACAATTTTCTCTCATTCAGGTCGAGAGTTTGTGCGAGAACAGTTTGATGGTATGTTGGCGAGAAATAATCGGGTTTTATTACGTTCCAGTGCGCTTTATCGATCAGAAAGGTGCATGACGATGATCCTGGCGCCCGTTTTCGTTATTTATTCGTGAAAACTTCACCTGTATACGGGCGCGAATTGAAAGATACCATTAGACAAGTGAATATTTTGGTGAAGGGTGAGTTTTGGATATTTTCTCAATGTTAATTCATAAAATGCAAGATTATTTAAGGAGAAAGTATTTCGAAATTAAACAGGTATGAAATATTCGGATACTAGACTCTGGAGGAGGACGATTCAATAATTCATCGAAAAAATATTTCATTTTCAAAGTTAAACAACCACTCGGAACGTATCGAATTCATGTGAACGACACAAATAATTGAAACTTCGCAATCAGCCTGCAGTGGCCAATCATTTTTACACCGAGTCCCATTTTTCTGGTTGTCTCAATTACCGGTTAATGCACTCCATCTTTTCGCTGTGTAAAATCGTTTGGATCACTAGGGAGTCGAAAAATAATTGGTCGAGCTGACCACAAAATCTTCAGAGTCCAACAGCTCCTTTTTTAGTCTCAAGCATTTAGTTCCACGTTCACAACCTTTTAACTACGTTTACTTACATCGCTAATTCACCTGGGTCATTCGTACCACTCGTTGTTCGGTTAATTGTTTGCCTTTCAAAGTAAAACGATTAACTTCCCATAGAAGAAAATGGTTAGAAGTGGTTCGCTTTTCTTCGTTCTTTAAAAGAATTCTTTCTTCTCTTCCATTAAGGAAAAAATACGTGTTTCTTTGGTTCTGCTAAAAGAACAACGCCTGAATCAGAGTCCTTTATCGTTTAAAAGAAAAATAATTCGTCTATATATTTTAATAATCGTAAAGATTCCAATTTTAAGAAATTGTCCCATAAAAGGGGTTGAATTCCTCTCATAAAGAGTAATAGTAGAATCTGTGAAATAAATGAGTCTTCAAAGAATCTTTCTTCATAAATTACTAATATCATTCATGAAAGCAACCCCCGTCTATGAAAAAATTCAAATGAGTTTATTTTTATTCAAAAGGAGGGCGAGTCACTATCTCCAAGATTTTACTTCACCCTCCGACGAAAGCAACGGATTATTAAAATTTGATCTGGCTACAGAAGTTCGTTTAATTAAGTATAATGTATACGCGTATTCGTATAACAAGTAGGGGTTGGTTTATGGAACTCGTGCAACGAGCTTAATCTCGGTCGGCAGAGATCAGCCACCCTCGTAAAAAGGAATTTTACTAGCGACTTTTATTCGAAGACGTGCGATGGATTATCCTCTTCCTTATACTCATAACCTTGTACAAAGGATATTTCATTTCAATAAAAACAAATTTTTTGATTCAGGTTTTCCAGAAATCAAGAGCAATCCTAGTTGCGAACCCTTTTTAGAAGTGAAAAAACTTCGTTCGCAAACGCCCAGTAGAAGCTCGAAAAAAAGAAGAAAATAAAAAAATTTTTATTGCCAGTAAAAATTTTAATAAATTGGAGATTCAAGATTCTATATAATATTTTTAAGGGTAAATTAGAAATAGCTTTTAACCTGGATTTTTCTATATTATATCGACACAAGAATTTATGAAAAGTTTTTCTCAGAAATTCAAGATTTTTCAACTTCAAAACGTACGCAGATTTTATTCCAGAATTATTTTTGCTTCCATATTCCATGAAATTTTCTGTATGCCGTTTTTTATCATGTTTGTAATATTTTTAACCGTAAATTAAAAAATAGCTTTTAACCTAGATTATTTTTATATGATATGAGCTGTCAGTAGAAAGTTGAAAATTAAAAATGTTTCATCCCTCAAATGCAGTAGCGAAACTGGACAGGGGCAGGATGCACCTGGTTCTAAAAACCTGAACTGGTTCCTTATAAAAAAAGGACCCTTATCAAATTTCAGAATTCCAAAATTTCTAAGTTTCTAAAGGACCTGGCCCACCCCCAAAAAAGGTCCAGATTACGCCAATGCTGAATCGTGCACAGATTTTACTCTAAAAATATTTTTTCTCATCATATCATTTCTGAACAATAAACAGAAAAGTAGGTGTGTAATTGAGACATTTCTTTCATAAAAACAGCTCGACGTAAATGTACTTTAAAAAATGAGCTGCAGATGGATGGAAATGGATGAAAAATGATTTCATTTTGAAATTGTCGAAATTGTACGAGGGAGATGCATTTAAATCCGGCTTCAAACGTGACACGGTTCTTGTGTAATAAAACTAGTACGCGAGTGTGTCGCTACACTTGTCTCGCTCTAATGATCATTAAGCAGACTGAGAAAAGTCAACGGGCCGGGCTAGCACGAGAACATTACCAGAGTATTTTCCCTTTATTTTTCCTTTTCTTCTTCTTCTTTTTCTTTTTTTTCTAAAGTGACGCGTCCTACTAGCGGCAAAGTCTTTCCTGTTTTTTCCTGTGGTGTTTCCTCGCACCCGAGCATTTCCTTTTAAATCATCCTGCCCGTCCCGTCTTAGCCTCCAGCGTCTCAGGATACTTCATAAAGATTTTCTCTTGGACGCTTTCTACTTTCTGTTTTTGCCTTCTTCGAGCTTAAAAGACGTCCCATTCAAAGTTGAAAACGTAGGAACTGTGTCCGGCCGCGTTATTCTCGGCTTTATAGCAGGCTAGCTTCTCTAACCGGAGACAAATTTTTAATCAAACAGAATATTTCACGAGGGAAAATCCTTTTTCCGTTTAATCCTTGCTAAGAGAACAAACGTCCACTGTGAATTATGAAAGAATTTAAATTACATTTTGGATTTTCAACACCCGAATCATTACTGTATTTCATTTTCATTTTCCAACTATTTGTAGATTTTATTTTCTAATTAGGTGTTCAATGACCTTACATGTTAATTATTGTTCTGTACAGGAGAACAGCTCCTTTCAGATTGATAAACGAGTTGATTAACAGGTTCGCGGGTGAAATCTTGTCGGTGGATATTTAACCCTGTGAATGGAAAACGGGACACCGGGCTATCAGAGACGCAGTGTGACGTCAATGGGTCAAAGTGTCTGTCCTTGTTAAAGGGGTTTCTGGAATGTTGCGTTCACGCGTTTGAATCTACGCGAATCCGGCTGGATCTCGATGTGGTTTGGCAGGGAATTCGTGTCGCTAGCAATTTAACCCTTTCCGTAGGAAGGGACCAACTTTAACGCTGGAACTAAGCCATCAAACTTTCAATTTAGAATTTTCCCATATTTTCATTTGCCTGGAAATATTGGCCGGTAAGAAAATTGCGTTTTAGTGGTTTATTCTCAAGGAGAAAAGTGGTTATCGAATAAGAATGAACACTCTGCGTAATTTCTCCGGGGATACTGTCGCTGCCTTTACGGTGCTCGGTCTATTTTCCCAGTCTATGGGGAAAGTGATACTTCGCTAACTCTTCGGAGACTCAAAAAATAAAGTATCAGTATTGCAATGAGAAATGGCAAGATTTTGGTATTTTATCAACCCTTGATTTCATATTATTTTCATTTGGTGTTCTTATAAAAATTATTTTAATATCCTTGTACGCGTTTTAAAAGTTTGGATCGCGATTTATCCAGGCTCCACTGTTCAAGGAATAAATTTAAACCATTTGAATTTTTAGGTGAATTTATTATGAATTAAAAGAAAAGTTTGAACAATTTAATTAGCGATTGAAAATTCTCTTCGTTAGTATTATACTACGTATAAAATGGCCTGAATGATTCCGTGGTTATGAATAAAACCGTAAAATTATTCTTCATAGTCTCCGCTTTAAATGTATCCAATCGAACCGAAGCACGCCAACAAAGAGCCTGGCCCCGTGACCGAACGTTTCGTTGGCCAATAACCATTCGGATTTTTCGCGAAATTGAACCGTGTAAATTGTCCAACCGACGCATTCAACCAGCCGAAATTGGTCATCCAGGATCCCGTCGTAGCGCATAAAGGTCGCTCGTTCACGATTGAAAGGGATTATTACCCCAATCAAGAATTATTACCCCTTTGTGCCGCGCTCGTCTCTTCCACAATAGATTTTGCAACCCCACCGACTCACTGTTTTCACCAATCGAATCGCCATTTATAAGACTGTTGCTTAGAAGAAGGGGATACTTTATAATATGCTAAACATACTGAAAAGTAATTTTAATATTCTACAGCCCTTCCATTTACTATACTAAGAAATATTGAAGGAAATTTCTCTGATCAAATACAAACGCGTTCAATTATTATTGGATAGTGAAACATCTCCTATCTTCAGAAAATATCACATAATACAGTTTCCTCGGTATGGTGATATTAGCCGGATGGAACCGCGGGCTGTCACCTCGACGCCATCGAATCAATAGAACCGTCCAATCGGCAGTTAACGATTCGGACAACCGCAGGTGTGGATCGTTGCCTCGCCATCAGCTAGCGAAATCATTCGGCAAACGATCGGTTCGTGTCCACAATTTCGCGATAATGCTGGTACAAGCTGGGAAACACTCGGGATCACTCGCGCTTTGGAATCGTCATCGAATAACCGAGCGGTGGACCGGACCTCCCGAAATTTCAATTATTAGATAATACGAGTCGGTAACAAGATAAACGGTCAGCGCATCATTTGAATTTAATTTTGCAACGCGAGCTGATTTAATCTCCCTTGCCCTCTGGCAGCGTTGATTCAGCCACGCGATTGGCTCGTCTGAAATTAAGCCGTTCGTTCGGATTGCCATACTCATTGATAAAACGCGCACTGCTGATCATTTTAATTACCCTATCGGCTATTGCGAGCCCTTTTATTCACCAATTGCAACGTTTTACCTCGTGCTGTAATTTGTAATAAATTAACGTAAGGTTCAATGGCAGAAAGTGGATTAATGCAAACGATACTCGACTTATCATTTTTGATTGAAACGCTGAATTCGTTCGAATTTATCTCTGGCGAAATTGATATTTCATCCCCGTGAGATTAACATTTTTTATTTCATATTATTTCCAATATCCATTTTTATACGTGTTAGTAATTGCATATTGATTGGACTGTTCATTTGCTAAATTGATTAACTCTGCAAAATAGAAAGGAGAGAAATTGATAAAGTATAGAATACTTTGGCGTCATTAGGTGTCATTCTGACAAATTTTTCATTCTCCTCACGCAGATCGAGAAATTCATGAAAAATGTCCATTCAAAAAGATGAAGAACGAGCGATTTTCACGCGAAAGAAGATTATCATACGATCCTACCCCTAGTAACATTTGCTTCGTCGAGGCGTATCCTCTTCATTTTTTATTCACATTACCCGAGCGCGGAGTCGATTCTAGAAGGGTCGAAATTAGTTTCACGACCTCGGTTTGGGACTTTGCGAAGTGAGTTCTCGAACAGAGCGTCTCCATCCTGAAATTTATAGACCTTAATTTTTTACTCGTTCCTCGGTGGCGGAGATCGGTCAATAAAAAGTCCATAAAGGAGAAAACCATGTCTATCTTTGGTTACAATTTTAACGAGAAAAGTATATTCTTTTCTTCTGATATACTTCCTCCGGTCAACGCATTATTTTCCGACAAAAGTTACATTTATTTTGGATAAACTGATGATTATCAGACATCATTTTTTCATCTGCTTTTATCGTTTATCAAGGAGCCTGTCGCGCGCAGATGGTGTACCGTAGTGGATCCACGAAAAGGATACAAATAGTAGAAAAACAGATGGAAAAATGATGTTTGCCTGAGAATTTCTGTCAGAAAATTCCAACTGCCTTTCCACGTTTCCTCGTGCATTTTGATTCTCCTCGCGAACGATTCTCATGCCGGTTGCACCCGTTCCCGTTGTCTTCTGCTTTTCTTTTCGTATATGCACGCCAAGATTTGCCCGTTTCTCTCGTTATTCCGACGTACCGCTATCGTGGCATACGAAATCCTATTGTAATTTTTCAACGTTCCAATTCAAGTGTATCCTGAAGATCCTTGTTCACCTTTCCCCTGCTGGATTTTCAACCAGTCTTATAACTAACATTTGCTTGCCTGCATTTTATCTTATTTATACCATGAATATTATATAATGTTCCTACACGTTCCTACGCAAGTTATGCAGCCAGTGATTAAAATAATAACGGGGAGAAATGCAGAGAACGTTAAAATTTTGACGGGGTGAGAAATGCTCGGCGAACTTAATTGCATCAATAAAAAAAAGAGAGGTCACGGCTCTGGCAGTAAAATAAAAAAAAAAAAAAAAAAAACAGTTCATGCATCAACTGGAACGACGAAAATGTTTTTTAAAGCATACGCATCGTTGGTGGGAAAAATTTTTCTGTACCAGGTAGATTCGAATACTCGTATATCTCACAGTGAAAACGTATATTTTAGTAAATGTGTACACTAATCGGTGTATGCATTTATGTACGCTTTTAGCAGAAGTGCGAACCGAATATAAGAACGTGCATTATTTCTAGTAAATGGATTCATTTATTATATTACAATAAGTATATACATTGACTAGGAAATGTACATATACATTTACTGAATCAATGCTTTTTACTGCAATATATACACCTGGAGAGTTACGTCGAAAGAGAATGATGATCTTTTTTCTGTAACAACAGCGAGCATCTGAATAAATAGTTCTACATAGATAATCTTCAGCCTCTCTGGCACAACACACTTTACAACAGGGCTACGGTGCTTTTTGTCGACCGCTGTTATACAAGTCGACTCTGATGCTTCTTGCTCGGATCCTCGTTAAAATTTAAACGCTTCCAGCGAAATAAACGTTCTTCAGTGCTTATAACTAGCAACTCAAAAAATTTCACTTACGTACCGGAAGAGGTGCAGACGTTGTTGAACTTGTAATACATAAAACTTGAATTTATGAAAGGTTCCTTCCATCGGTAATAGAAATATTTTATCATGGACCAATTATACACTCGATACGAGTTCTCATTTTTATACACTGCTTTTTTAACCTCGTTTTTGCCACGAGCTTTAATTACCCTGCAGAGTAGAAAAATATTCAATCGACTAGAGAAAACAGTGCACGAATTGATCGATGCTCTTTCCCTCGAGCACTGTTTCCTATAACACCACTTCCATTATGCATGGAAATTCTGATAATTACTCGTGGAAATGGGAAAACAGAAGATAGGAATTGGATGGAATTTTTTTAATTTCTGCTCCAACTAAGGCGGAATACTAAGCAGAATCTTTAACGAAGTCGATCGTGTTAATATTCCAGAATTGGAAACGATTTCTGGTCCATCGCGTAGGTGGCTATTAGTAAAATTGCTCGTCGAACACCCTCCGCTCCAATTAGATTACTTCCCCTTTACAGTGTAGTCTGTCACATTGTACTATTCGATACAAGATTTACTAAATTTGCATTCAATAGGATCTTCGCCATTTCGAAATTTTAAAATTCTGAAATTCTGAGATTCCAAAATTCAAAGATTTTAAAATTCTAAAATTCTAAACTTCTAAGATTCTAATACTTTGTGGACTTGGCCCCTCACAGAAAAGGATTTTAATTACGCCAATGGATCTGATTCAGGTTTCCGAAACCAAATTCGAATTACCAGAGCATGTTCAACAAGCATATCAGTAATCGTATTAGCTGAAATTGACACCCTGACTGTACCACCCCCACTGATTCGATTCGAAGATCTTTTAGTACCGAATAAAATTCAGATGTTGAAGAAAGGGTCTTCAAGGATTTCTTTACCCATTGTAACTCTAAAAGAAATCTTATTCTTATTATATTGAGAGATGGTGCTCGAAAGTTTTGACCAAGGGATCTAATCAGAGGGCGACAGAAGGGTTTCGGTGACAGAAAAGCCAAGAGCATCGCGTAATTAGGGTCATTAGTGGTTGAAGTAGTTTCATGGGTGCTTCACAGTAGTACCATCCACGATCCCACCACTCCTATTTCCATCTGGAAGGACAGAGAACTGTGTCGAGAGGAATCTAATTATCGGTTACAGGTTCAAACCGCATTCTCCTAACCGGATGTTGGAAGGGTTCTTCCATTTGATCGAAATTAAGATCTGAAGGAGTTAGTTCGTTCGATTCCGACTCGAACATGTAACTGGATTTATTATTCTAATTTTATGCGAATTTTTTTAGTTCAGTGTTTCTCAGAGGGTGGTATTTAGTTGATAGTCAAATATTTAGTATTGCTTATCGTGTATTCAGAAAAGATTACGATCGTCCGAAGAGGAAAGGGGTTTCTCTTATGCGAAACACGAGTTTCGCAATTTCAGGATCTCATAAAGTGGCACAAGTTTCTGTAGCATCCTAGAAGGGGTGAAAGGTCAGGGGTGAAAGAGCCAGAGAGGATTTTAAGATCAGACTATGGACTCCTGACAAATAGATCTACAACCCCACAAATGCTATTCTTATCTCACTGCGTCCACTGAATTTTTTCTCGAGCCAAACGCACCCTCGCTATCTTTATCTAACATATCAATACTTATTTTCATTTTTTAGAAATTTTAAAATTACTCTAGCTATAAACGAAACCCT